AAGGGGCTAAAAACTAAATCTGTGAAGCTATCTGAATCATCTCCATACATAATCTCCTCAGATTCGTCTGCAGGAGGAAGAGTAGAGGTATCTGGTTCAGAAATCACACCAGTATTGACATTGGACCCAATATCAGATATGTTGAGACTAGTGTCCGAAGCCCTAGTCGCCTCTAGAATGTACTTGACAATCAGAGCTTCTGGTGGAGTGGAACTAGACGATGTGGTAGGAGGGGTGCAATTTGTGAAAATGGTTGATGTTAATGGGGTGGAAATCTGAGGTAGTATAATTGCAATAGAAGGGTTTGGTCACAGTGGAAGGATAGATGATATAGTAATGGAAGTTATGATTGATGAAGATGGTGGAGTGTTGACAAAGAAGTCATCTGTAAGAGGAACAGATGTAGAAATAAGAGATCAGACCTTCGGAGTAGATTCAGTGGGAGTTGGTTATGAGGTAGCAGTAGTATCATCTTCTTCATGCATAACTGTAGCATCCTCTTGAACTTCCAACACAATTCTGGAATTTAAGTCGTCATGAGCAACTCGAGATGGTGATCTTGGTTTCTTAGTGGCTTCATGATTTTCATGGGGATTTTAACTGCTTTAGAAGGATCAGATTTCTCTCTGCGATTACCTCCCATTTTAGGTTTGTGTCCCACCTGAATTTCTTTTTGCAATTCATCCGACATGGGAAGAACACCAAATGTAAATGACTTCTAATATGCATTTACAATCACATTGTCCTGAGGTACCCTTACCAACATCTCCTCCGGAATGGACCCAATAATAGCTCACAAACATAGTTGTTTGGAGAATCAGAATAGTATCTGCAATAGATTTCATCATCAACTTGACCCTATAATAGCTCAGAGCATGATTTACTATGATAGACCAAAATCAAGCACATGAGATCTCTGAATGGTGAGTGGTGGTAACTGTAATTTGGATTAGTTGAGCCCAAAGAATAGCACCATAATCTAAATTTACTCCATGGTAAAGACCATAATTCATAAAATATCTTTAGATAAAGAGTCAACAGCCCATTCCACATAAGAGGAAGAAAGGGCTTCCAGAACATTGACAATAAAGAAATTTCTTCGGTATAACCCATTTGAAAGAGCATCTCAGTGAGAACCGTAGAGGAAATCTATTATGGATCTATGAGATATTTAGAACTGTTTAGCCCTAATAATCTGGTGAAGTAGAGTTTGGAGATCAAGGTCTTGTACGAAGCAACCTCGAATTGGATAACTTTGTGTGTCTTATTTTAGATTGCTAAGGAGTAGGCTTTTAAGCCAATGGAACTGATTCAGCCATGGTCAATGCTTGAGTCAGTGGCAATAACCTCAAACATTCAACTATTGGCCTTAGAACATCACTGTAATTTGATGAATCGGGATCAATGATCATACTTTGTTTTGACTTCATGTTCAGCATAAAGGTAGAAGTTGATTGATCGGTGAAATAAGCAGTTTCAAATGATCTGACCATTGTTTATGTGGAGTAGACGATGAACAATTGAGAGAGTCTTTGAGTTTTTTTCTAAAGACTTTGAATACTTTGTGTGAAGTGAGAGAAAATCAACCATCCATAATACTTTCAGATAGTTTGAAATGAGTGGTGAGAGAAAATCATCGGTTGACGTTCCATTACCCCATAGCCTTGAAAATAGTGATAGCTCATCATTGTGTAAGACGACGTTGTAACTGACTGGCATGATGTCAGGGATTTTCAAAATTTTGCATCTAATTTGAAATCTTATCTCTAATAAACCATCATTTCAGATTTGACGATTTTAGAATAAGTAACTAATCCACCAATCTTTAAGACCATGAAATGTTCTAAGAATGAATGTAACCAATAAGAATTGATCACCGGAGTTTGAAAAATCACAAGGATTTTTATCCAAGAATGTGCCAAAGATACAAAAATAAATCAAATTAAAGTTTAGGGATGCTGTGATGTCATAAAAAATTGTCATGAAAATCAGATGGATATAGGGAAACAAACTCTTCTTTCTAAATCAAGAGAGACTTTGAAGTGCTTGTGTGGCATCCCGTTGAATTACGATCACTCGTTTATTAAGAAATTGTTGAAGGCTTCTTTTAATAGGCTCCATGGGTGGCTAAGCTTTACCCAGATTCCCAAAATTGAAACATGTCTGAAGATCTAAAAGAAGTACTTGTTTGACCAGTGTAGCAATAATAACAAGTATGCTTTGGGTATTCTTTAAGTGACTGGATATTAAGGAAATCTCAAAAAATGGATCTAGTTGGGTAGAAATATCTTAGGTCAATAATATTTCATTATGATCACACAAAAAGAAAATTGAGATTTGAAATTAGAAATGTCTTAGGTCAGTACCTTGTATAAATGTAGATTGTTGAAGAAATCGAGTCAGAGTTTCATACCATGCTCTCGGTGCTTGTTTGAGACAATATACCGCTTTATCGAGAACATGGAAGTAATTCCGATACTTTTCATTCACAAAGCTAGATGGTTGTTCAACATGTATGGTTTATTCCAATTCACCATTTAGAAATGCACACTTCACATTTAATTTATATACCTCAAAGTTTTTGTGAGCTGCATAGGCGTGAAAAATCCAAGAAAATTCTAGTCTAGCCACCGATGCGAACGTCTCTTCATAGTCAATACCATCTTCTTGATAGCAGCTTTTTATGACTGTGCATGCCTTGTTTCGGATTATGTTTCCTTCATTATCCATCTTATTCTGAAACACCCATTTCATTCTGACAATACAAGTATCCTTTGGAGAGGGAACCAATCTCTACTCTTTATTTCGCTCAAATTCAGTTAGTTCATATTGCATAGCTTGCACCAAATATTCATGATCAAGAGCGATTTTAATAGTTTTGTGATTCATTTTAGAAATTAAATAATTAAATATGCAAAATTCTAATTTTGTAAATAATGCATTTTGTTTTGCTTTTTGTTGATCGCTTGTAAGAACTCCTGAAGATGAGTCTCCTATCAGATGAGATTGTGGATGATCTTTAGTCCACTTAGTCATCAGAGGATAATTCGTATCAAGAGCTGGATTGATTTCAGCATAAACTTCTTCGACTTCCGATTCTACATATGGGTCATTATTTTAACTCTCCCCCTGTAGGTTTTCATGTGACTCTATATTTAGAATCAAATCCTCCCCTAGATTGAATCATCACATTTGGAGTTCAAAGTGAAAACCTCCCCCTGGAATGGAGCATCAGTAGGTTGTGGAGGATTGGGAATTTAGAAGCCTTCAAAATTTATTGTTCCTGAGAAGTCTTGATGTTTTTAGCAGCTTCATCAACTATATTCCTTAATTAACATTCTTTGTTATCATTAGCCTTCTAATTTGATGAAATGGCTTTTTCAGGATCATCAAACAACCTTAGAAATTCCACATATAAATTCATGAGAGGAATAGTCAAAGAATTTGTCGATGCAATAATTTCCCGAGACAAACATTCTTTTTTCTGATATCTCTTCATGTAGTTGTCATCAAATGTGACATAGTATGTTTCTTCAATCTTTCTTGACTTCTTGTTCAGAATCCTATATTCCTTTGCAGTTAAAGAATAACCCAAAAAATCCCTTCGTCTGCTTTTACATCGAACTTGTTCCGATTTTCTTTATAATTGAGAAGAAATCATTTAGATCCAAACACATGAAAAAACATAACATTTGGTTTCCTATTATTCAAGATTTGATAAGTATAGATGTAATTGATCAAGAATAAGAAACGTGATCAAATATTAGACTGAATTATGAACATAGAAAGCTAAATAAGATCTGGATGGCTCAATTATAGCTTCTGAAAGATATAGAGAATGTTTTAGAGTAAAGTAGCAAAGCCTCCAAAAGTTACTCTAACTCTAGTACATATCACCAATTTAGAGGCATTATAGAAGCATACAAAAAATAAATAAGGGATTTAAGCATTAAAGATTCGACATACAGACACCCCTATGCAAAACAGAAAAGATTGACTTTGACACTAATACAATGAAAATAACACTTCGACAACTCACAACAATTTCAACCCCAACATTCTCGCCCTTTATGAACAATGTCAAATCCTATGTTATTAGCATCTTAGTAGCCTGATGAAGAACTCTCATATTCAATGTACCATAGGATTGATTTTTTAACTTCAACTTTGTCCCCTTCATATTTTGCTCGCAATTATTTATACGATCAAGAAGATTCTGATATTGAGAGTTAGTATATCTTTCAAGATGTTCTACCATGAATAAAAACTTTGTATCCTTGTAGTTGTTATACTTTCCAATGAATACTATTCCTATTGGTTTGACATAGATTTCAACAAATATTTTTGCATAGCAGTCTATTTTTCGATTGCCAATGCTAACTCCACATCAATTAAAGCAAGACAGTCGTAATAATTGTTAGTGATGATCTTAATATGTGCAAACCCATGTAAGAAATCTTCTTTTCATTTCACCTGATGCTTCAAAGAATCTACTCCTCTTAGAATGTTTGCTACACAGACGAGATCATTAAGATTCATCATGGGAAAGTGAGCTATTGTGAATTCACATACCAGATTATTGGCACGAACAACACGAAAAGAAATGTTTTGTAATAAACCTTCGAATAACTGATCTTTGGTTATTCCCGACACCCTGACAGTCATTACCAATGACCAAATCTCTTCTTCTCTCTTCCCAACTACAGCATGAAACCTAATTTTTAGTTTCTTGTACTCATCTTTATCTTCGAACTTGTGAACTATTTGATACTGAGCTGATACAAACAACATATGGTTGATAGGAAAATCCAGTTGATTGAAATTGGAATTTTCAATATCAAAGCTTTTCTTTGGGACTTTCAAGAAATTAACCACGCTACCATGAGAAAGAATCTTTTCAATAGTTTCATAACAATATGGTTTAGTAGGATCACCTTTCTCAAGAACAGGTTGGTCTCCTTGCATTTGTCGAAGAATACTCTATATCTTCCTTTGTCTTTCTATTTGCATTCCAAAGCAATTTTCTTATCTTCATCAATTGGTTCAATGTTACTACCCTTCCATTTTCCATTTGTTTCTTTAGATGATGGTGGTGGCTTCGAACTTGTTCCACAAATAAATGAACCAATATCTATACATTTAGTTAATGATTTAAAAGTTATGGATGTTGAAGAGGTCATTGTGGACATCAGAAATGAGGTGGGAAGTTGTGTAGTAGTCACTTTACCAACAACTTTTCCTTGATCGGAATCCCTTGATGTACTAACACCATTTTCTCCCCCTTGCACCCCTGTGGAAACAGGTGGGGCAGCTTTGGGCATCAACTTAATAAATGTCAAGAACCGATCAAGATCAGCCTTTAGATAACTTTCCAATGAAGAATGCATTTGTGAGATTGAATCTAGAGAAACTGATGAACAAGGAGGAATTGCAAGTTTGAAAATTAGCTCCTTCAAGTCTTCTAGTAGTCCTTGCAGATGTACAAATGTCTTGGAATCAGATTCGGACATTACATCAACTATGTTCAGAAGAGAAGTGTGATACTCAACAAGCTTCATCATAACTTCAGCAACTATATCCACCTTAGTATGAAGGATAGAATAGTTCCGATCAACTTTTGCAACTTCATGTGTCATTTCATGATGAATATCTTCTATCTTGGAAATCACACAAAATTTGTTATTTTAATCCATTTGATCAATCATGGATTTCAGCCGGATTTCCTGAGACTTGAGCATAATGTCAACCTCAATCCTAGAGACACTATGGCGACTCCTAGCATCAGCTTAAAATTGGCATAACGAATTGATTTGTAGTTAAGAATCTTAAAGTGTTTTCCAGACACAAGCATATGATCTTCTATATTCTCCTCATCTTGATCAAATTGTATGTTATCAAAAGAAACACAAACATCATCATCTTCTGTCTTATTATTAGAAACACATTTTGGTCTTGAAGTTGATTATCAAGGACACAAAGGTGTGATAGGGTTATTGAGAATATTTTGATAAATAGGTGAAGTTGTGGATTGACGTAATGAAGTAGGAATAAGTGAATGAAATGGTGGAAAAGAAGTGGTTGTATCAATTCATGATGTTTCAAAAGTATATGAAACAAGAATAGAATTTGAGTGACCTTCGGCATTAGAAATCAACAACCCATCACCCTTATTGACATTTGCTATCAAATATGTTTGTAGTGATGCCTAAAGTTTGCAACTCCTCCATATTAGACTTGGCATGCAAAACTTTGGGTGGTATTACCGAAGTCTGCTTAGGGATGGATGCTTGTGAATGAGAATTCAAATTGGTGGTTGTGTCTACATGAAATGTTTCCACATCGCCACCAAGACTTCTTGTCGCCTCAACATGTAACTTAACAAGAGAGTCCATCTAATATGATTCGAATCCCATATCATCATAACAAAGTGGAGATTGAGACTTACCACTATCTTCAAACTTAGTCTCAACAACAACCAGAATCAAATTATCGTCCACTTTTTTCGCTTTTTGTTGATTTTCTTCACCATATCTCTAGCTCTTACTTTCTTGGATGACGGAGGAAAATGAGCAGTAATATCCATAATAAGCACCCCCTTTCGATTGATCTGGTGTTTGCAAATATTCTTGATTTTTGATGCAAAAATCTCTCTAGGAGAAGAAACAAATTGCTCGGTAACATTTTCAAGAAAAGGGTGCCTTTCAGGAGAATGACGAGGTCTATGAACGATTTTCTTTGACAACTTGAGAACCCCAGATTCCGAAGGAATAACTACCTTTGTTGATTTAGAATTTTCTTCATGAACAGGCTTAACAACTTCCTGTAGAATTGGAACGGGATCAAGAACTGAAACTGGCTATGTAACCGTCTTCGAAGAAGGAATAAGAGCAGGCTTCGATGGACTAGCCTTGGTAACGTTCTTTGAATTCTTGCCACGCTTTGAAGTACCGGCTATTCCTTTTGGCAGAAGAACACCTGTTTCAATAGAAGGGTTGATTGTTTGTAGATAAGCCATAAGATTAGGATTAGCTGGATCTAACTTTTGAAGCATAACATTGGGGATCCTTGCAACATTAGGCAAAACCACATGTTCATCCTCTGCTGTCTAGGGAATGTCATATAATACAAAATTATGAACAAAATTGTTTCCTTTTTGCATAAGAAAGAGATCGGTTCCTTCTCTAAACAACACAATTTTATTGAGGTGTATATGGAGCTGAAAAATTATGAACTATGCCAAGATTAGTTGGAAATTTATCAAGAACTTGATACATAATTCAATTCCATTCTCACTTTTCATCTTCCTCACTTTCTTACGTAGACTGAGTTTGATATGTTTAATGAAATAAATCATTACTTGAATAGTTTTAGACTTTTTTCAAGGAAATTATACCCATGTGAACCTTGAAAAGTCATCAACTATGACCAATGTGAAGTAATTGAAGAGGTTCAATGATCTTCGTATCAATGATAATTGGATGACCTTGTCTATGTTGCCTCCCTTGTTCGGAAACTGCACATAAAGAATCATTATCAAATTTCAAGATAGGTAAACCACGAACGTGATCAATTACCATTAATTTGTTCAAAATTTTGAAGTTTAATTGAGAAATTATGCCATACCATAGCCAACTTATATCAGATGATACCTTCAAGAGTAAGCATACAGTGGTAACACTAACTATTGGTTTGATATCAAGAGTGAACTTATTTACTTTTCAATTTTACATGAGCAACACTTCTTTTTTTTCTTTGATTGAAATAACACTTGTTTTTTCCTAAGAGAATACTTGATTACCAGTGCCCACAACAAGTTGTGAGACAGTTATCAACTTATGATGAAGACCTTCAACATATGCCACTCGATTCACATAGAACTTTCCATTTGTAACTTTTCCATATCCCTCGACTTGACATTGATTGTTATTCCAAAACTTTAGTACTCCAACATGTTCATGGCTTCAATAATCTCGTATATTTTCCTTTCGACCTGTCATGTGACAAGAACAACCACTATCAATGTACGAATGTTCATTATATTACTTGTCACACAAAACCTGCAATCCTTGAAAGAATTTAGGTCCCCAAGGCTGTTTAATTCCTTGGTTATTATAACAGCATGCATAATGAAATGAAGATCCTATAACCCAATTACAAACTTTGCATTTCAAACTATCAATTGAGTCAAATTCATTAGACTTAGGTATCTAAATTAAATCATGTATAATTTTAGAATCAACATTGGCTTTCCCTTTTTCTTTAGTGGTTTGTATAACCTCAACTCTTACTTTCAAAACTTATCTCCACTTTAGAATCGATGGATTTGATTCCATTATGGACGTACTTCCATGTTGCCATTCGTTTAAGTAGCTTTCATAAGCATACCTAATTTCCATTTGTGAGAAGTTTCCTGATTTAAACATTTGTCCTTTTCCTTCAAGACAACTGTAACAACCTAAAATTTCATTTCATTGCTTGTACCCCTTTTCACGACTCGTTTCGATCATCCAATCGCCGATTCCGGTTTCGTTTCCGAATTTCCGTCAATTAATTAAGTCATTAATGTAGATTTTATTTTATGACTTAATGAGTGTCCTAATACCCTTAGAACTCATTCAAACACCTCGTATTAGTGATCGGAACATTTCTAGAATCAACCATATCGGGTAACGACAACTTAATCGGGTGCGACCAAAAGCCCCGTTTAACGTCGGTATCGAGTAGAATTCCACCGTGTCCCGAACTTAGGACCTATTTAAACATGTTCAAGCTATCGTTTGAAGCTTTTTATTTCTCTCACTACTCTCTCTCTAACCTCTCTCCTAAAATCCAAGTTTAAGGGTCCAAATCATCAACTATAGCCTCCAAATCTTTGAGGTACCTTCCCTACCTTGATATATAACCTCCTTAGCCTTCAAATTTGAGCTCAAAACATGAAATAGGACCACATCCATGAATTTACGGCCCTAGAACAGTGCTAGGCCGTGAACTCATATGAAATGTGTTTTGGGAGCAATAAAACCCTTCCAAACCACAATTGGACCTTAGATATGGCTAGATGGCTTTATGGATGGACCTAGAATGCCTTAAACTATAATTTGGAGACTTGTATATGAGTTTATGGCCAAGGATGGTGTTTAGGTCGTAAAATCATAATTAAAGGGTTTTTATGCCCTTAAACCCTTCCTAAACCCCAACAAGACATGGATATAACTTCTAGAATAATTGCTTTAGCCTTGGAACACTTTCAACATAATTTTTGTGGGATTTATATGAGTTTACGGCCAAGGCATGTGCTTGGGCCGTAAACTCCTTAAAATGGGGGTAAATTCAATTTCAAGGTGTTAGAAAGCCATCCAACACCACCAAAAGCCTTGAAATAAATCATAGGACCAACCAAAAATAGTTTAAGGACCTTAAACATATCAAAACCCCAAATTTGAGAGTTTACGGCCATAAAACATGCCCCATGGCCGTAAACTCCTAAAAGTGTGTCAAATGGTGCCCAAAATTCATTTCTAGGCTTGTGGGAAATTTTAGAATCACATGTGATTAATTTTAAGACCTTAAAAACAATTATTCAAGAGGATATGAGAGTTTACGGCCATAGACCCCATGCTTAGGCGATAAACTCCCTTAAGTGTTGTATTTGGTGATTTTAATTCAATCCAAGCCTTAGGTAAAATTATTCCAAGCATTTCCAAGTGTCCATACCCATTTGTGACCCATTAAACACCATAAACCACCCCACCATGAGCTTACGGCCGTAAAATCATGGGGAATGGGTGTTTTAGACCAAAAACTCTTGTATGATTTTACTCATGGGGAGTAAACTCAAGTTCCAAGTCCCTAGTGCCATTACACATCCTTAAACGCCACCCGGGTCCCTCCAAACACTTGTATCGGGGTGTTTTCGCGACTAGAAGTAATTGTCCCTGTCAAATAATCAATCTAAGTCCTAATTAGAAACAAATGTGTATGTTTACATTATACTTAGGAACCTCATGCGTTTGCAAGCCCCAGACCAACACTTAGCATCCAAATCGTCACATTTCTCGCTCGGTGAGTTCATACCCCTACTCTTTTTCAACTGTTTTCACTGTCTTTAGGGGGGGGGGGGGAATACAAGCAATAGTACAAGGAAATCTTGTACTCCAATTTATCATTTTCTGTTCAATTGATTTCATTCTGTATGTTCTAATATCAATAACTGTGTTTATCAAATAGTTCGAATTACGAAGTTAGCTTTCAAATCAATCATAGAATCTTGATAAAATGTTGCAATCTAAATTAATTTTCATAATCTACAAATAATTCATACTAATCATCAAACAGAACGGATAACGAAACTATAACTAAGAACAGAACGAATAACGAAACTATAACTAGGAACAGAATGAATACGAATACGACTACGAATACGAATACGAATACGACTGCGAATACGAATACGAATACGAATAGTAATAGGAGTAGGAATAGGGAAACGAATACGACTACGAATACAAATACGAATACGACTGCGAACACGAATACGAATACAAATAGTAATAGGAGTAGGAATAGGGAAACGAATACGACTACGAATACAAATACAAATACGACTGCGAATACGAATACGAATACAAATAGTAATAGGGGTAGGAATAGGGAAACGAATGCAACTACGAATACGAATGCGAACACAAATAAGTACAAGAATATGTTTAAGAATAATAACACGAATATGAAGATAAATATCTAAGTATATTTCGAGATAATACCATTAGGATATCAGAATACCTAGTTAATACAATAGGTACGAATGGAAATAAATCAGTATATCGAAATTCAATAACTAAAATTACTTTTAGGAAAGTATGGGACTTTCCTGGGGAAACGTTACATAACTAAAAAGGAGTAATAAACTAGATAACTATATATCTTTCACAATTAGTAATATACAATCAGGAAAGAATGAGACTTTCCTGGGATCATAGTTAAACATAACCAGAACCGTGTAACCTAATAATTAACCCACCTTCTCTTTTAAGAAAATATGGGATTTTCTTGGATAACAACTTTTCGGTAAACTAAAGGAAACTCGTACATTTTCACAAAGCAAACATCTTATGAAATCACCAGCTTTATGTTGATTTTCAAATTGCTTGTATTCTCAGGTCAACATTAGACTTGTACAAAAGACTCGTCTCTACTTTTGTTTATATATAGTATGTATTACGAATGTACAACTTTACTTTTGAACAAATCTAAACTTTGATATGTAATGTATTGGTTGTTTACATTACTTACTATGTGCATTGGATTTGATACTTAACTTGGAGTCAACCCCGGAAACATTTCCGCCTTTGGTTTTCGGGGTGTGACACCAATGATTAATGTTCTTTATATCGTGGTTTTCTTTGAAAAATGAAGCATTAACCTTTTGGCTTTGAAGCTGCATTTGGAAACTGAGGTTGTGTAGGTTTGAAGGATTCATTTCTTGAGTTATTTACTTCCAAATTATCGAAATGTCTATTTGGAAATTTTGATTGGGCATGAGGTTGAAAACGATTTTAAAAACGTTCATTATAACAAACATTCGTCCAAGTAAAAACTTAAGTTAAATTTGAAAACATCCTTTCATTGTTAACTTCTTTAAAATTCCTTTGTTGTTCAAAATTATTCCTTTGAGAATTATATTGAGAAAACTATGCATTTAAATGATTAGGAACATAATTCCTTTGAAATTGTTTTGAACAAATTTTGAAACTTTTGGTTTTTCGAAGATTGATTTGGTTTTTAAACTCTTTATTGATCATTTAGACATTTTCTTTTTAAAAGGTTTTGTTAATACAAGTTTTTGTTTCTTTCGAGACTCAAAATTTTTCCAATAAACCTTTTTCCATACTTTAGACATTAAAATTCTTTAATCTTTTGAAATATTTTGAATTTATACATAATACATCTATGCGTTTGTGGTTTATGTTGGAGAATCAAATTCATTTGAAAGGTTTTCATCAACTACTTTTTCATTCTTAACCTCGCAAAGTCTTTTTCGCTTTGATCTTTGAAATGTTAATGAATTCTTGTTAATATTGTTTTCAATAGCAATATTGTTATAGAACAACCCTTCGTTCTTTGCTTCGTTGTTGTCCTCAACTACAATTTTGTTGATTTCAGGATTAACTATTTCTCCATTTCCTATTGTAATAAACACTTGATTCGGAAATATCAACTTATCAATGCATTTGAAGTTTGGATAAACCATCGAATTCAATTCAAGATAATGATGACCTTTTTGCTTCATTAATTTTTTTGAAGTTTTTTGATTCCTTATAAACTTGGTCAACAACAACCCTTAGAATAGTTGTGTCACCAGATTCAACTTTGTCATCATCATAAATGTCAGTCTTGTTGGGTTTTAGCCATAAGAACTTTCCTATGTGTGCATGCAAAACCCTAATGCTTGGATCTAGGCTTTCTAATAAACATGCTTTTGAATCCAAGACTTCTAATGGCTAGTTAGGTTAAATAACAGTATTGAAACAGATCTAGAATCATACCTTTGAATCCCTTGTTGATCTTGTTTGTCTTGGAGCTTCTAGAGTCACAATTGTCACTCCTCTAATGGCTTACAAACACCAATAGCAAGCAAGATGATTTAGGAGAGAGGAGAGGGAGGAATTCGGCCAGAGGTTCCTTGCTTAAGGTTTGTGTTGTACTCGAATTCCCCATCCCAAGGGCCTATTTATACTTTAGACTCCTTAAGGGTTTCACCCTAAACCCTAATTGGATAATCTTCTCTTAAGGCTATCCAAATCCATTCCATAGATAACCCTATGGACGATTTTGAGCTATCCTAAAGCTCTTAGAATCCGTCCAAGGTGTATCCTAATGGATTTATAGTCTAAAGTCTAACTATCAAACAATTGACAGTTTATACCCTCTTATTTAATTAATCTCTTTAAGTCACCAAATTAATACCAATTAATTTATGACTTATATTAATCAAATAGCTAAATATTATTCCTTATAATATTTACTCTCTCTTAACAAATCATCCTTCAAGTTGCTATGGTGAAGGCAACCCAAAAGGACCATGCACCACCGAATATAGTTATAGCCTTAGACACTATTCCAACAGTCTCCCACTTGGATAAGTCTAGTAACTATACAAGTACAATACGGTTTGCAATCGTAGCTCTCAAAGACGCTGTCAACTCTGATCTAATCAATCTTGTCCTTTAGATAAGGGATCGTACAGTCCTCTGTTAGATATCATGCTGACAATCCTATGGAATGGTTAGTCTAGCATTTAGATTTCTCGATCTTCGATTTATTTGACATAGAACTTAATCGAACACATCAATTCAGTTCTGACCGGGCCCGGCACATAAGTCAAATCAAATCATCGAGTGGCCAAGATATCTCTTCTATCCTC